GTGTACTGAAAGAAAATAAGCAAGAAGTACGAGAGAAAAAAGAAAGTGGTACGTGTGAATTAATAAGATTTTCTGGCATTGAGAAGTGTATCGGTTGAATTGACGTTTGTGAATAGAAAAAAAATTAGAATGAATTTTATACCATTGAATCAAAGTAGATAAAAATTAGATCGATTTTGACCGTTGTTGATAGTTCAATTTTCTAACTGTAACATTGGATAGAAATTAGCATTTTTAGTATATTGATATAATTTTATAAGTCACATAAGTTGAGTCTCGCATCAATGGGCGGGGCTATTTATAGTATTCCGATCTAAGATGATCATAAAAACAATTATTGTGTTAAATTTTTATTGGGATCAAATAATATTTTATATAGGTTTCTAATTTTTTTGAAGCAATTAAATTGACGTAATAAAAAATTTTATATATAAAAAATAATCAATTTGTAGAGATGGTTTTAATCTTGATTTTTTAAAAAATAATAAGTAATAGTTATTTATGATAAAATTTAACCGACTCCAAGTGATTGAGATATAAAATTTGATTTGGTTTGATTAGTTATTCATGATAAAATTTGAANCGGGGGTGGGGGGGGGGGGGGGGGGGGGGGGGGGGGGGGGTGGCTGCCGTTCTCTACCCCATACGAGGATTATAATAAAAAATCTATATAATAAAGTAGAACGAATTTGAATTTTGGAGACAAAGATTAATTTAGATCGTTTCGTGACAAAAAAAAAAGCATCATCTAACGGACGACGTTAACTCAAACTGTCTCGAGTTATTGACGTCTCAGATCGTCTTAATCTGATGTACCACATTAACTCTTTTGAAATATTTTTGCTGCTTGAAATTTATAGTTTCCAAAATTGATATTCTAAAATTTAATTCCCCCAAATTTTTTCCTTAAATCAAGAAAATATGTCTCTCTCATTCATTTGTATCTCTCTCTCTCTCTCACGCTCAATTCACGCAAAAAAATATCAAAATTTTATAATATTTTTCTCTGTATCTTACAAAAATATTAGATAGTATTTGATTCAAGCAAATACTGCATCTCTCTGTAGATAGATAATATATATCACAGAGAGATAGTATATTACGAAAATATTCTTCTATATCTCTCTCTGAAGGAAAATTATATAATAAATATTAGATATATAGTATATATCACGAAAATATTCATTTGTATCTCTCTCTTTCATTCAAGCAATATTACAAACACGAATCATATAAATTCAATAGTCAATTTTATTTTTTTCATAATCAATAAAAAAAAAACATAACTTGCAAAAAAATTATTTTAACAAAGAAAATCTGCTTAACATATAAAATATACAATATTAAATTCAATGTATTGGGTAACTCAGATATCAAGATATATATTAAAGAAAATATGCTTAACATTTAAAATATACAAGATTAAATTTATATACAAACACGAATCAACAAATTCAATATTTAGTGAATAACACAAACCAATAATATTTACTAAATAATTCAAATCTAAATACCCAATAAAAATGATACAAATTATAAGCGACAGAAACGATACAAAATTATAAGCAATACTATAAACACGAATCATATAAATTCAATATTTAGTGAACAACACGAAAACAACAATCTTTACTAAATAATCCAATACTAAATAACATTTAGTTTAAAAAAATATACTAAGAATATAAATAATTCAAAAAAATGATTTAAAATTAAAAGCATTACTATAAATTTGAATCATATAAATTCAGTAGCCAATTTTATTTTTTCCATAATCAATAAAAAAAACATAACTTGTAAAAAATCTAATTTAACAAAAAAAATATGCTTAATATATAAAATATATAAGATTAAATTCAAGTTAATGGACAATTCAGATATCAAGAGATATATTAAAGAAAATATGTTTAACATTTAAAATATACAAGATTAAATTCATATACAAATACGAATCATACAAATTCAATATTTAGTGAACAACATAAAGTAACAATATTTACTAAATAATCCAAATCTAAATACCCGAGAAAAATAATACAAAATTACAAATAGGATAAACGATATAAAATTATAAGCAATACTATGAATACGAATCATAAAAATTCAATATTTAGTGAATAACACGAAGTTACAATCTTTACTAAATAAGTCAATATTAAATAACATTTAGTTTAAGAAAATATACTAAGAATATAAATAACCGAGAAGAATAATATAAAATTAAAAACACTATTATAAACTTGAATTATACAAATTCAATAGTCAGGTCGTATCTTTTGGAAGTCGATTGAATTTTTGATTGTTATATTTGGTCATTTGACAACATCTGTAGATTTAGTTTAATTGTGGGAGTATTGTTTTAATTTTCATTCTATTAATTATGAATTCTGTTATTATTTANCGAGTCGAATTATCATATAATATATGTTACATCTTGTTCTTTTAGAACTAAATTAAGTAATGGAGACATAAAACGGGTGGTGTATTATTTGGTTGTAAGGTCCATATAATAATAAAATTTTATATTTGGATGATCTAGTTATTTATTTTTTATGTATAGAGAGACTAGTATAAAGCATAAACAAAAGGCAAGAGATGAACCTGTCTTGTACTATGTTATATGTTATGCATGACTAAGAAATAATAGTTAGAAAGTGGGGGGAGGGGGTGGGGTGGCTGCCGTTCTCTACCCCATATGAGGATTATAATAAAAAATTTATATAATAAAGTAGAACGAATTTGAATTTTAGAGACAAAGAGTGGTTTAAATCGTTTCGTGACAAAAAAAAGTATCATCTAACGGACGACGTTAACTCAAACTGTCTCGAGCTATTGACGTCTCAGATCGTTTTAATCTGATGTACCACATTAACTCTTTTGAGATATTTTTGCTGCTCGAAATTTATAGTTTCCAAAATTGATATTCCAAAATTTAATTCCCCCAAGTTTTTTCCTTAAATCAAGCAAATATCTCTCTCTCTCATTCATCTGTGTCTCTCTCTCTCACGCTCAATTCACGAAAAAAAATATCAAAATTTTATAATATTTTCCTCTGTATCTTACAAAAATATTAGATAGTATCTGATTCAAGCAAATACTGCATCTCTCTGTAGATAGATAGCATATATCACAGAGAGATAGTATATTACGAAAATATTTTTCTATATCTCTCTCTGAAGAAAAATTATATAATAAATATTATATATATAGTATATATCACGAAAATATTCATTTATATCTCTCTATTTCATTCAAGCAATATTACAAACACGAATCATATAAATTCAATAGTCAATTTTATTTTTTTCATAATCAATAAAAAAAAACATAACTTGCAAAAAATTTATTTTAACAAAGAAAATATGCTTAACATATAAAATATATAATATTAAATTCAATGTATTGGGTAACTCAGATATCAAGAAATATATTAAAGAAAATATGCTTAACATTTAAAATATACAAGATTAAATTTATATACAAACACGAATCATACAAATTTAATATTTAGTGAATAACACAAATTAATAATATTTACTAAATAATTCAAATTTAAATACCCAATAAAAATGATACAAATTACAAGAGACATAAACGATACAAAATTATAAGCAATACTATAAACACGAATCATACAAATTCAATATTTAGTGAACAACACGAAAACAACAATCTTTACTAAATAATCCAATACTAAATAACATTTAGTTTAAAAAAATATAATAAGAATATAAATAATTCAAAAAAATGATTTAAAATTAAAAGCATTACTATAAATTCGAATCATATAAATTCAGTAATCAATTTTATTTTTTCCATAATCAATAAAAAAAATATAACTTGTAAAAAATCTAATTTAACAAAAAAAATATGCTTAATATATAAAATATATAATATTAAATTCAAGTTAATTGACAACTCAGATATCAAAAGATATATTAAAGAAAATATGTTTAACATTTAAAATATACAAGATTAAATTCATATATAAATACGAATCATACAAATTCAATATTTGGTGAACAACATAAAATAACAATATTTACTAAATAATCAAAATCTAAATACCCGAGAAAAATAATACAAAATTACAAATAAGATAAACGATATAAAATTATAAGCAATACTATGAATACGAATCATACAAATTTAATATTTAGTGAATAACACGAAGTCGCAATCTTTACTAAATAAGCTAATACTAAATATCATTTAGTTTAAGAAAATATACTAAGAATATAAATAACCGAGAAGAATAATATAAAATTAAAAACACTATTATAAACTTGAATTATACAAATTTAATAGTCAGGTCGTATCTTTTGGAAGTCGATTGAATTTCTAATTGTTATATTTGGTCATTTGACAACATCTGTAGATTTAGTTTAATTGTGGGAGTATTGTTTTAATTTTCATTCTATTAGTTATGANATCTTGAAAATTTGTTTCCTATTCAAGCATAGCTCGGGTTTCATAACATGGACCATGCTCAAAACTTTTAACCCATGTTCAAAACTTTAAACATGGACCATGCTCTGGTTGAGAGCTGAATATAAATTCACATTTAACTTGCATTTGAAAATTTTATAACTTACATTGACTTTAACACACCCAAATTGCACCCTTAGATAAGATCACCAGGACTTGAAGCACAAGAAGAAGAGGAGTTTAGATCTAAGCGCCAAGCATGCATCAATTTTACGGAACCCAAAATTAGGGAGCTTAGGGACATGTTTTTCCCAATTCCAGTATTGAACTTTTGGAAATTATTCAGTCCCAATTAAACTTTCATAACACAATACAGAGAAATTGCAAAACATATCATCATGAATAAACTTGTCATAATTCCAATACTTTCATTGGCCATAGTCCATATTTATTTACCGTCATTGGACTATGAGGTGCAGTTCAAAGGATTTTCAAATCCTAAATAATTAGTTTACAAGGAACATAGTTTCATACATTATCAACAAGTGAGACAAGAAGGAGAATAATGAAAATCATTGACTGCATTTAACACTCTCAATTGCAATAACTAAATCATCAAATTTGGCTCCTGTGACTTCTTTAACAATCTTACTGTCCTTGAGAATCTTGAATGTAGGAACCACCCTAATCCCAAGCTCCTTCGCCAATGGCTGCCAACAGTAGCAGATTGACCAAATGAGAGAGAGAGAGAGAGAGAGAGAGAGAGAGAGAGAGAGANAATGTGAATGTTAAAATCATGGATATTGAATCAAAAATAAAACATTAAATATTGTCAAATGATATATTTTTTAAGATATTTGAATTATTATATTTCAGTAGTTATAACATAATTTTTGTGACATAACAATTTAATGTGAAAATATATGTTATGCGTGTAGGTTGATGTTATAAAATATATTAACAGACTCATTTTGTCGGCGATTACTACAATATTGTATTTTACTTTACATTTATATATAGGTAAATATTTGTAACTAATTACGAGTAACACCGTACTTTCAGACACAGACAATTGTTAGTAAATAAATAAAGAGAAGAACGTGGTGGCAACTCAAGGTAAGAAAAAAAGGTGACTGTGTTTTTGTTTGTGAGTCCTCTAGAGAGCAATGGGTGGTGACTTAACTCTAAGGAGAGCTACATATAAAAGGAGGAGGGGCATACATAGAGTCTCGATCAAGAAGAAGAAAAAGTACTTCGGCTTTTGGATAGTAAAAAAGAAACCGAGGGAGATCAAATGGTGATTTTACCTCCGATTGTTTGGAAATTTGATTATTGATTACCCGGTATAGATTTTAAGGTATAAAGTATTATATAATACAATATATTTTGAATCTCTTTACAAAGTAACTTTTTGATTATTGCTGATTTGTATTCCTTTTGATTTGGTTATCACTGTGAAATCCAAATTGAATTGTTTCAGGTTCGTTGAGTATGTTGATCATATTTTTTGTGAATTGGTGACTAGATCATGGGAACCGATAGTCCAATGCATGGTCAGTCCAAGACATCCTTGAAATCAGTTTTTACACAAAATATATTCAACTAGATTTTACTCTAGATTTCTTTCATACAAATTCCTTCAATTGTTGTCATCCGATCTTTATCTTCTTAGATCTCATTGTCAAAATAATACTCCAATTTCACTATGCGCTTCTCTTTCTTCCTTTCTTATTCGCCAGTTAAAAGAATTCACAGAGAATTTTTTTTTCACATGCAAGTTCTTCATATGTAGAAAGAAATCTCTTGGAGTTTTCGTTGAAAATTGCATCTAAGGTTAAGTTTCTTTAAAAGGAAAAGAAAAAGATTATCAAGTCTCCCTCCTCGAATCAGATAATCTATACATAATTGATAATCTTGTTGAATATATATTGTATAGACTATGTGAGATAGAATATAAAAAAAAATCCCAAAAATAAAGATTAAGATAAGTTTAATCATTAGTTGAGTGTTTATAAAATGAGGTGGACTTGGTTATTAGTGGGATGGATGTAGATGGGGTGAATTTAGTAGTTTTTATGACTTATAGTTTAATGGAGTGATAACGACGATTTGTGATGTGAGAATAACCTCACCCTAATTGTTTTTATATTTCAATGGGGGTGGATATAGTCACTAATGGGTGGATGTAGAATGTGGTGGGAAAATGAATTTCATAATCTTTTGTTTAATAAAAGTCAAACTCGGAATTTAGTGGGACCAGTAGTGTTTGATTTGGATCGTGCTAACGAATAAGATTCATTGCTTGGTCATAAGCTCCTTCAGTTTTGGGCCGAATTCCATCATTTAAGCCCTCAAAATCCTGTTTTGCTATTTTAAGAAAGGTTTCAAAAATTAAAAATAAATCAGAGGAGATTATATATATTATCATATGTAATACAAATTATTCAATCAATAATACATATTTTCAGAGTTATTATCCAAATTTAGAGTATTCTTATTCCTCACACTTATAGACAGTGATCTCTTTGTATCCTTTCGTTACCACTGTATCAATATAGTCTCATCCGGCGTCAATTGGATCATTACTTTGAAGATTGAAGATCATAACTGAGTTATGAAAGAAGCATTCAAGAATTTTATCTTTTGAAATTCAACCGGTTGGGTATGGTAAGTTGACATAGAGACGTATTGATCCCAAGAGGTTAATTGGGTTCAATTGAATTAGATTTAACTTAGGGTGATTTGTCCATAGACGTTTTGAAATCACATTTTAGGTCTATATATGAACCATTGGTGAGCAAGACCACTTGATATTCAAATGCTGAAAAAGTAAAGTGAATTCTAGAGGTGGGCTATCGCCGAAGGCTCTAATAGACCTCGAGTAGATAAATTCGAACGAAAAACAAATTTTGACAAGGCCAGTGCTTGGCGAACGCTTGACCAGCACTGGAGTGGTTGTGTTTTTTTCCCAGGAAATTGAGGTTCAATGACTAAGACTAAGAGCCCCATAGTAGTTGGCCAGGCGTTGAGCAATAGACACGAAATCTTGAAAATTTGTTTCCTATTCAAGCATAGCTCGGGTTTCATAACATGGACCATGCTCAAAACTTTTAACCCATGTTCAAAACTTTAAACATGGACCATGCTCTGGTTGAGAGCTGAATATAAATTCACATTTAACTTGCATTTGAAAATTTTATAACTTACATTGACTTTAACACACCCAAATTGCACCCTTAGATAAGATCACCAGGACTTGAAGCACAAGAAGAAGAGGAGTTTAGATCTAAGCGCCAAGCATGCATCAATTTTACGGAACCCAAAATTAGGGAGCTTAGGGACATGTTTTTCCCAATTCCAGTATTGAACTTTTGGAAATTATTCAGTCCCAATTAAACTTTCATAACACAATACAGAGAAATTGCAAAACATATCATCATGAATAAACTTGTCATAATTCCAATACTTTCATTGGCCATAGTCCATATTTATTTACCGTCATTGGACTATGAGGTGCAGTTCAAAGGATTTTCAAATCCTAAATAATTAGTTTACAAGGAACATAGTTTCATACATTATCAACAAGTGAGACAAGAAGGAGAATAATGAAAATCATTGACTGCATTTAACACTCTCAATTGCAATAACTAAATCATCAAATTTGGCTCCTGTGACTTCTTTAACAATCTTACTGTCCTTGAGAATCTTGAATGTAGGAACCACCCTAATCCCAAGCTCCTTCGCCAATGGCTGCCAACAGTAGCAGATTGACCAAATGAGAGAGAGAGAGAGAGAGAGAGAGAGAGAGAGAGAGAGAGAGAGAGAGAGAGTATTGTGAACATGTATCCTTGGAGGGCTCACGCAAGCAAGAGCAGTTGTGAGACCGCGACTACGAGAATTGAACTATTCTCTAAAAACTCTCATGAGAATCAAAATCAAGTGTATGACCATTAATCGCACTGACCCGCGATCTATGACCAATATTAGTACTATATGTGAGACATGTTGAACTCTTACTCAAAGAGTTTCAGACCTAGTTCACTATGATCCTTAAAAGGAAAATTGTCTACACTAAGTGACATTCAAGTTGAAAGACAGCTATACCCAATGCACATTATTATAGTTGCCAAATACATATATATAGGGAAGTTTGAAGTTTTAAAAACTTGTGGGGTATTGTAAGAATAATAGGGAATTTTTTAAAATTTCCAATTAAATGGTATCATAATAATTTTTCAGTTTTATGAGTTTTAACCCATGAGTTCAATTTTCAGGTCAAAATTTATTTGGTATTGGGCTGCGACAAGATTTTAAAATGCATAAATGATAGACTTTTAAAGCCATCCATTAGTAATGTCTTATGAGAAGCCATATAAACAAGTTGTCGGAAAAAGTGTGGTGCGGATATACGACCACTTGATTTTCTCCATTATAGCCTAACGTGTAGTTTGATCTCTCCTATTATTCTTACATTTTGCCCCGTTCTCCTATAGCTCAAATTTCAGCTTTGTCTTTTTCATCTATTCTACATCTACATCACCTAATTCCCTTTGCACTTTCTATAAATATTTTACCTTATCATAGTTTTTGGACAACACTATCTGGGTCAAATTCACCCCTAACTTCCGCTGGGCATAACCATTGAGGAAGAGCTACTGCGAGCGTCTATGCTTGATATTTGAAGTTGTTGATATCTGTCATTACCCTCACGTGAGAAGACTCAATTGCTTTAGGATTGTGTTTATAAAATTTTCATAGTCACATGCCAACTTTTTCAAATTTATAATATTAATTTTGTTTTGTTCTAATTGCATGTTATTTTATATATTCTTCTTATTTAGTGATCATGTAATTAATTTTTTAATTGACATATGAATAAAATTGTTCTAATTTCCCCAATGAGAGAGAGAGAGAGAGAGAGAGAGAGAGAGAGAGAGAGAGAGAGAGAGAGAGATTCTCTCAACAAATCGGTATTGAACTAGAAGCAGACCTTGTTATCTTTGTTGCAATCAAGCTTTAGAAAGACAACATCAATATACTTCTCCGACAATTCTCGAAATCTTGGAGCCATCACCTTACATGGGCCACACCTGCAAATTGAAAGAATCAGATATCACAACGAAAGGAAGAACAGTTAAATTAGAAGTGGTGCAACCAACACATTAGTGAGGAATTAAATACAACAAATGTATAAAATTACACATGCATAGCTATTGGGTATTGAACAAGTGACATTGTCACCTCCTCTAGACATTTTCAACTCTTGCCCTAATAAATTCAATGGTTTCCACGAATATCGTGAACTGAACTGACCACCACCCAACTTCATTGATGTAAGAAAACTACATTTTGGAGAGGCCTGGTGATAGTCCAGATCAACCTATCAGTTACAACATGCCAACAATTATATTAAAGGGGAAATATCTAAGTTTATCATTGAGTAAGCAATACCACACCTTAGGGGCACTTGGGTCTTGTACTGGAACCTAAACATGGTTTTTTAGCTGTCTTGTTACTTCCCACATTGCCCCCTTAAAGTATACATATCCTTTGGCCTAAATTTAAATGATGTTGATTTAAAAATAATCGCTCATTAAAAGACAAGATTGACTCAATGAGTTTTATTATGTTTCTGTGACACTAACGCCATGTGGGCAACCGGAAAGTTGAATTTCATTGAAAGTACTCGTTCACAAATAATAACTACGGATACTACAGTTACTTCCAAGTACTACGATGTTAAAAAGTATAAAGAAGAGTGGTGACAAACAATTTCACGTTGTCACAGACAAAGCACTGATTGATAACTAGTTAGGAGCTAAGAGAGATCTATATCTTACACCCAATATTTGACTGTACGGGTGAAAGTATACACCATGAATCATCAAAGAAAAAACTCTGAATTAATACCTTCTTGTAAGAAGTAGAACGTTTGGGATATTGACATTTCCTAAGAACTTTAGTCAAAAAAAGGCATGAATCTAAAACAATACATCCACTTGGCTATTAAAGCCAAGAGCTGGACTTCTGATCTCAAAAACTAAAACTGAAAAATACTCATTGTTTAGAATACCCTGCTATTTTCTAGTAGTGGAGGGGTGGCTACAAGACCATGAACAGCACAACTCCAGTACCCTATGGCTATTGCATCATTGCCATGACTTGGAAATACAAAATATTATAGAACCTGTAGCATTAAAGGAATATTCAGCATCTGTATTGATTTGTGTATACTGTTTTGCTCACTGATGCTCATCAAAGCATGTCAATCATCTATTTCAAACAAGTTTCTAATCATGCTTTTGTAACATGGTTGGGCAAATACACATACTCCAACTTAAACATTCCTATACATTTTACACTTGTCCATAACATAAAGGATTTTAGAAAGAGAATGCATATATACTATGAACCAGGAAGCCACTTTTTCTTTTTGGTTATCATGTATACATCCAAGGGACAAAACAGATGCACGGGGTCTACTGGGAAAGAACAGCATCATGCAATCCCCACTTAAATGCTAAGGTTGGGAAATATATCTGCAGATAAAATGGAAAAGAAAAAGACCATAGGACCAGATATCCATATTATAGAAAGATCATTACTTGAACTCAAGGTAGTTGGTACAAGGACTACATCATTGGCAAACTATATGCACTTTATTTAATAACACCAAATGGTAATCCATGGTGCGACTGTTTACTCAATTTTCTCCACTTATTAGAGGAAGAAACAAAAACAAAAACAAAAACAAAAACAGAACAGAAGCAATTCAGTAAAATGAACAACCAACAAAGAAGAAAGAAAAATTGATTTGATGTAGACTACACTGTCCTTCAAAGATATTGAAGAAAAGATAACTGAATATAAGTATTCCTTGAGTACATTCCAGTGTGGGAAAGACAATCGCACATGTCAATCTTCCAGAAGTTGGAGGGCAACCAACAAATATTTTCCTTGGGGGAGGCATGTTGGCTGAGTAACACAGAAATATACCAACAGCAAAGAAGGAATGACATAAATAACCCCTATCAACATACTTTTGGCACATAAAAAGGTACATTTATAATGTAGCAATAGACAACTATGAGAAAAAAATCCAATTAAAAACATGTAGAACTTTTATCATAGATATGTAGTATGGAAGGGTAAGTACTTATACATATCCTATTAATCTTCTTTCTCATTTTTTTACTCTAATTGGATGTCCTGTGAATATCATCTGATCTTCAACAACAAAATGGTTTCTTAATAGCTACACAGACATCGTCTCTTAATAATCATATTTTTGTGTGCATTCAGTTCATAAGAGACCTAAACTGACACAATCTCCAACTTATTATGGACAGCTGACAACATCAACAAATTTTTAATAAAATTTTGAACAGATTTACGGTGTCTCAACCACACATCCACATGTCTGCTGGTAAATCCTCTATATCCAACAGGCCTGAGAATATCATTTGATGAAAACATTAAATCGGATTTCAAATTTAGATCTTCACAGAATTGGCAAACAGAGAATTAAATTCTACCATATTCCAGAAAACAACATGGTTCAACATCTAAAAACATAATTTGCAAGAAATTCTGGAACCCTTCATATTCCTATACAATCTTACTCTTTTTCAGTAAATGTAGTAGGCCCTTTGATAGAAGGGTAAATTGCACCAATAGTCCCTGAGGTTTGTCACTTATCGCACTTTGATCCTCAAAGTTTTAATTTCGTCAATTTAGTTCCTAAAGTTCAAATTTCGCACCTAAGTAGTCCTTCTCACTAACTGCTGTTTAAAATATGGACGAAAAATCTTATGTGCCTATCACTGTGTCTGTTTAGGGGTATTTTGGATATTTTACAAATGGAGCAAAGGGTAAAAAATAAAAAATGAAAAAATAAGCTCTATTTCTCCTATTTTTCTCATAGATTCCTTATTGGAAACACAAACCCTCACCCTATATTTGCCCTTGAACAGTTGAACTCACCATTCCACCCATTGGTTGTCACCACCACCCTCCACTACCCAAAATCCATTCTCTTTCACCTCCACCCCAAGCCAAGCCAATTAGCTAGCCAACATCCGTGAACAACCACTTCTCCTTCCCATAGAAAAATTTAGAGAAAGAAGCATAGAATTCAAGAGAGGGAGAGAGTTAGAGAGCAATTAACAATCACAATCACTTACCCACTTCAAACATAATTCTTCCATCAATTGGCCTTTGGGAATGTGACAGTCAGTCTGACTAGTGAGCAACTCTGGGACGTGTAGTAAATTGGAGTTTGATTGCCCATGGTTGTTCTGGAAAATCAATCTTTGTATTTAGCTAAAACACAAGCCCTTGTATTGCCATGTACATGTTCTAGACAAATATTGGGATGTGTTGTGTGTGCGCGCTAGGGTTTAAGGGAGATAGGGGGCGCTATTGGATTAGAGGGAGATATGTGGAAAGAGATGAAATTGGACACAGAGACAAACTTTGAGAGCTAATTGAAGGGAGAGAAGGAGGAGGAGCATGGTTCAAGGTCGCGGTATCAACCATCGACTGGGATAGCTCTCAGATGATGGAGTGAGACAGAGAATGATGTATTGTTGGGTTTGAGGGAGATTGATGGCAAGATATATAGACATTTTGTTTGGGAATGTGAGAGAGAAAAGGAAAAAAGAAAGGAGGAAGAAGACCCATGTTTGGATTCATGTCTAAAATTGTTTAGATAAAGGATAATGCTGTTTAGACGCATGAATTATTACAAAATACTAAAAATGCCCCTCAAGAACCGCCCGTGATGGGCACATGAAATTTTCTGTCCATATTTTGAATGACAGTTAGTGGCAAGGACTACTTAGGCATGATATTTGAACTTTGAGGACCGAATTGAAGAAATTAAAAATTTAAGGACCAAAGTGCGATAAATAGCAAACCTCAGGGACTAATAGTGCAATTTATCCTTGATAGAATTTACCATTCAATCAACATAGAATAAAAGATAAATTGCACCAATGGTTCTTAAGAATTGCTACTTGTTGCACTTTCATCCCTAAAGTTCTAATTTTGTCAATTTCGTCCTTCCTATTAACACATTGACTCACTTTGGTTCTTACCCCGGATTGTCTTTCAAATAATAGACAAAAAATGTCATGTGCATTTCACATGCAACTTTTGAAGAATATTTTTGGTATTTTAAAATTATTTATGCATCCAAACACAATTATCCTTTATATGTATACATTAAACATGAACCCAAACACCCACCTTCTTCTTCTTTTCTTTTTTCTCTTCTTGCTTCCTTACACACAAACATCCTTTTCTCTCCCTCACGCACGCAGACATCATTATCTCTCTCGTTCTGCATCTCCACCCCCTAAACCCAACACAAAGCTACAACATCCAACTGGAGATACTTCTGAGTTCTTTGATGGAGAGATTATTGATAGGGTTTAGGGTTCATACCCTTTGTTTGTCTTCCATTTGCAATTACAATCATATACAATTTCAATCCAAATTTCATACTTTTGGTCTGAAAGCAATTGCCAAAAATTAATATAAACTATCAACATCCGGCGGCTACTTAGGGTGGGTGGTGATCTATGGATGGTTCCAATGTAGAAGAGTAGTGGTGATGGTGGTGGGGCTTGAGTTTGCATTGGGCTTGGGTGATTTGAGGTGGAGTCATGGGAAGACCATCGGTAGTGTTTTGGGGGAGGAGGGGGTCACCGATGGTGGTCGATTGGTTAGTGGCCGGCCATGGTGGGTTTAGATGAGGGTTTTGACTATAAAAGAAAGAGGAGAGGAATCGACCACCAAGAAGAGAAGATGAAAGAGCGAAGGACAAGGGCTTACTTGGAAGTCTTCGGCGATACAACGATTGCTGTGGTGGCTAGTGATGGCGCTCTCAGTGAAAGAAGAGAGAGAGAGAGTCGGTGATGGTCGCTTGGGGATGGCCGCCAGAGATTAGGGGCATCAGGGAGAATGTTAGGGGTGGGGGGATCTGGTCCCTCGTACTAGGGAACTGCCAGCAAGGGTTGGGGAAGGGGCTACCGGTTTAATTCTTGGTTTTTTTCTTGAAGAGTTGTTTTTCCATTTGTGCCCCTTGTTTTTGGAAGCACAATGACAAAAATACCCTTTAATACCCTCATGTGTCAAGCACATGGCATTTTCCATCTATTATTTGCATGACAGTTGGGGGTAAGGACCAAAGTGAGTCAATTTGTTGACATGGAGGATGACATTGACGAAATTAGAACTTTAGGAACGAAAGTGTAACAAGTGACAAACCTTACGGACTATTGGTGCAATTTACCCTAGAATAAATACATTGATTCACTATGATGGTCCTGATAAGATGCTAGCCATAAATAGAAGACCAAAGACCATAAGAAGAAACAATACATCATATTATATCCTCTCTAGATATTCACCTTGCAACACAGTCCAAAATAAATTTGGACACTTGGCATTGTAGTTTTATATCAATATGCTATCAGCAGAAATTTTGTTGGTCCAAATAAATAGGTTAAGGTATTGCATAACTAGTAACTTCTATGAAGAATTGTTCAAGTACAATCAAGCAAAGGATACACTCCCAATTTGACCAATTCTTTAAACTGCCTTCATAGATCCATAGTACAGTAAAATCCCATCCAGTACATATCTAAGGAAAAGATTTTTTAAGTTACATTTCATAGACACAAACACAATACCGCATACTGTCAAAATAAATAATTCCATGGAGCACAATATCTAAATTAAACATGTCCTACCATCTTGTGAATTTTCAATTACTTCCATGGTTCCTCTTGGCAATCCAAACAAACATCCATCACTATCAATGGAAAAGGGAGTAACATGTGCTCTAGACTACCAGGTAAACCTTAAGGGAAAGGAAAATAAATGAGGTAGGGATAGAGACGAATCATATATATATTCTGTATTCGAGAAAATAAAGTAAGGAATTCAATCTTTGATATTATTATGACTTGCAACTATGAAATTGTCCACAGAAAAACTTAACTGACCTGGCACAATCATAACAACATTTCCAGTGGGAACATGCTTCAAATTAGGCCTCCATGCACAAAATGCAAGAATTTGCCTAAGACCTCAGTGCACAAACTGGCAAAATCCTTTATTCATTGTTGTGATGAGCTATGCACTGAGGCCTAAGCCAAGGAGTTATTCCATTATCATTGTGGTTAAGCCAAGTTAATTTAGCAGTTCTCCCAATGCACTACTTTCAGAGTTGCAAATCGTAGTAATAGCAAGGCTTAATACACTGCCACGTCTCAGAATCAGCTTTAACTTTTGGAATTGATAGTTGTTTTTCATCAATATGACTATAAATGTAATCACAAAAACTTGCGCAATTACTCCAAGAGTCCCTTTGACAGAGATTTGCAGCTAATTTTCCCCAAAACTACTCGACCAAGTTTAGTGAAGTTCAATCAAATTTCTGATCTAGTAGGTTCAATACTTTCCCATATGTCTTAAAACTGGCTACACTCCAAACAAAACAAGACTATTCTAAATGCGTTCTCAGACTTCGATATTACAATTAAAATAGGTCAATACCCAGTCCGTCATTTGAGGTTCTCGGATAGATGGACTAATTTTCTAACGCACAATGTCACACCTTTACCACTACTGATCCAGGAAATCAAAATTTTATGCATTTGAACTGTAAACGTTTAAAGGTTACTAATCTTTGTCTCCCCATGATCTTGCTAAAATCAAATAATATCGAATTTACAAGTATTAACATTTAATTAACTCATAATGCGGATTATGTTATTTACACTAAATAAATTCTTAGGTGGCGTAGATGATAAGTTACCATTGAGTGTACATATCAAGAACGACAGTCTTGTCACCGGCAGCTTTGACAATAGGCCAGAAGGTATCTTTACAGACCTCCGTCACCTGACCCACCACCACCGGTCCGGCGGTGTCCAAGCTTGACCATACCTTCACACACCCAACCTTTTTGTTCTTCTTCATATTCATACCCATAACAGTAACTCTCTTCTCTCTTATTGATCCACCACCAGCAACACAGACCATGGAGGACAATTTGGCGGACCATGATGAAGATGCACAAGGTACTAACCCAATGGAGGAGGGAGGTGTCCTTGAAACTTGCAGAGCCATTAGAGCTGAGTTGTGTGTGTGTGTGAGAGAGAGAGAGAGAGTGTGTATTGTTTGTGTGCTGAGAGAGTTAAGAGGGGAAGGACTTTCAATGGAGACGAATTTTGGAAAATGTGACGGAGAAAGCTGAATCATTTGATTTGAGATGTGTAAATACGAAATTATTCACGAGTTATGCGAATATCGCAGGTTGTTTTGGTAAATTCGTTCTGCTTTCTTGTGGCAGACCTGCAACCGTCAGTGACTCCATATTGGTTGGAGGGGATATCTCCCCTTTTCTTTTTCCATCTTCTTTTATCTTAATTTTTATATTTTTTGAGCATAACATTGACAATTACATACTAAAAAATAAAGGAAAATGAAAACAACCCCTTTCCTCATTAGTTATGATTGAATCACTTGACAAGTGCGAGACATGGTTGATAAACAATAATGCTACCCTTGCAAAATTTCTAAATCAAATTTCAATGATCAGATGATGCATTAAATTGATCGTCATAATATAAGTTTATTGTAATAATACTGATAATTTGTTGCGATTAAGTTCACAATACACTGAGCTATGACACTATACATTGTAGAGTGTAAAATTTGAGAGGAAAAATATATACTCATAAGTTCAAAAAACAAACTATCTTATTATATAGATATAATGTTAATGGATATACAACATTATTTTATAAGAAAAAATTTATGCAGAATTCTAACAATAGTGTGATTTTTGGGTTGTAAATGTATTCCTCACCAAGTAAGCTATAAAACTCGTATGATGTGCTAGACATAGTTGATAAATTTGCCTCCACACAATAAAAAATAAGGGAGGTAATATGTGTTTTTCTAGCTTTCTTATTTGTCACTTTATTTGGGATAATGTTGTTTGTCCTTAAAATAACTTTTGTTTCTACTTCATCTTGGAATAATATTATTTGAAAAAAAAACAAGTCTTCCTTGCCTCATTTATGCACACATTCCACGCTATCATGAAATACACATCTTCTATTGGAAGAACACAAAAAATTTACCTTTCATAATTTTAATAAATACCATGTAAAGTGGTAGCAAGGTTGCGGTGCAAACTATGTCACAACCTTCTTCACGATGATTTGTGCCATACATATGAGTTCACTTGTACAATACATCATAATACAACGCCACTAGGGGGCCACTGGTCTCTTGATGTTGTTCTTGTAACTCTACAATAACTAGAAGAGTAGAAGCTTTGCACATAAACACATAGATCTTACTTTGTCTACACAATTATGAAAGAAATAGGAAGAAGTATTATTAAACGAGTTCTTGCAATTCTTTCCAATATGGAATGAGTATAGAATCAAGCTACAAGTCTTGATTTGTACGAAATGCACTAATTTTTTTGTATTTCTTTCGGTTTCATTGATAGCAGATTTTTCCTATTTGCAACAATCTTGCTTACTTAGTCAAATGGAACCCGGAATCCCAGAAAGCAAAAGAAAAGAGGAACTGTGGGAGGGTTTGTCACAACTTTCTGGTCAAAGAGTATTGATGGTGTGAATTGGTTTGAATGAGCAGAAGGTAGGAATTATGCTTGACAACTTGGACTTGAGCTACTAGGCTCGTGAGGATTGTGGGAAGTATTGCTAGGGGTTTGGGATGACTTACACAATGAAAATATAGTGGTTCACTGGCTCGGGAGCTCAGCTAGTCCACTCTTTAATGGAGGCTCTTGCTCCTCTTGTTTTAATGGTGAGGAATGGAATTTACAGTGTGCTTTCTCATGTAACTAGGGTTTTCTTGCCCATCTCGGAGGCATTGTACAATATATATAGTATAATATTTATCCCTAAAGGATCTACAGCGAGATCCTTGTTCTTCATCCATGGAATTTTCCTTGATTCTAGGAGGGGATTTTGGGTGGTTGAGAATCTCATGCCTTGATCCCTGCTCTTTTGCTGTTTTGTGGACTCCTCTTATTGGCCAGCTATTCTTTTCTTGACTTCTCAGATGTTTCATCCGAGAGGGACTCAGACTTGGGCTTCAGAGGTCTGAGCTCTGTCTGACCTCGCTTCCCAAACTCATATTTGGTTAACACTTCTATTCATGTATCATCAGTTGCCCCTCTAGCTCTTGGTTCAAGCAAGCTTGAGCAAGGGCTGAATTCAAGCTAGGTTAGAATAAGCCCTTATTTGGTGACCTTGGTGTTCCTGTGGACAAATGTTTGACAGTTACCAGTAATCATTTCTCTTCTCTTTTCTCACGCATGTTGCCCACTTTAAATCCCTTTGCACTATTAGCTTTAAATACATCTAGATCAATGGTCTCCTTCTCATTCTTCAAATTCTTTGATTTTTCTCTTTTTCTCTCTTGCGATTTCATCTTTCCCGATTTACCGTTGTTCTTAGGGTTTCTGAAAGAGACGATTTCCTTTAATTTGATCTGAAAACTTAGCGAGGCTTGGTTTCAAATTTTGTTCTCGAGCTTTAATCCATCGTTGGTTCTCGTTTAGGTACATCTTTCATCTCTTTCTCAGTTTCCCATTTTGAATCCCTCAAATCTGAGGTGGTTATTGGATTTTTGGACTTTTCGATTTTGCTATTTTAGTAATCGAAACCTTTCCCTATCTGGCATCCCCCTTTTTTTGGGATCCATACTCTACGGCTAGGATTTTTGTTATTGGTCATTAGTGTCTTGTCCCCTGACTCTCAAGGAGTGTTTCTTAGAGGTTTACCCGCTTTATAGGTCTTTTAAGCTTTCTTTCTCTTANGGGATCCATACTCTACGGCTAGGATTTTTGTTATTGGTTATTAGTGTCTTGTCCCCTGACTCTCAGGGAGTGTTTCTTAGAGGTTTACCCGCTTTATAGGTCTTTTAAGCTTTCTTTCTCTTACCCAGTTATGTCCACATCTTCTAAAGCTACGGGTTCGTCTATCTCTCTAATGAGGGATATGTCCGCTGAGGAGGAGTCCGATGTAGGAGATGTGGGGCAGGAAATTGATAACTTTCCCTGCGTGGATTCTGTCGACTTTGGGGGAGGTTTTGAGGAGTCTATTTTGCCATCCTCCCCTACTCCTAAAGCCCTTAACAAGGACAAAACCAAGGTGAGCGGTGTAGGGATTTTTGGCAATGCCGAATGTGGAGGCGCTGCTCCTAGGGCTGCTGAGCTCGTGGGTCCTAGTGACCGTGTTCCTTTTTATTTGAAGGTTCTAGCTGCTTGTTTTAGCTTTCCTCAAGGTGTGCAATTCTGGAGTCCAGACATATTCACACTATATGATTTTTCCATCCCCAAGAAAATTTGTTTCTTCATGGCCGCTTTTGATAACGGCCTCCGCTTTCCCATGCATCCCTTTATCAAGAGTGTTTTGCAACATTTCAATGTCTGTCCTGCCTAGCTCTCTCTTAATTTTTGGGGTGTGTTGGTGGGCTTCTTGTTTTCTTCAAAAAGCATAATCTTGGGGTTCTTACTGTACCTTTGCTCATGAGATTTTTTAATGTCAAGTACACTCCTTCTGACGATTTTTTGTATATCTCCAAACGCGTGAAAACCAAAGTTCTTATCTTCGACTTGCCGAGCTCCCACAAAGGTTGGAATTTTTTTTTTTCGTGTGGGGGAGAGACTGGGAGTTCAATTCCAACGATGTGACTGATACTCTTTCAATTCCTCGGGACTGGTCTGCCCTTGGTAACTTGGGTAAGCCTTTTCTTGAGTAAGTTAGGATAAACTTTAGTGTCCTTCTTGGCTGACCTTCTTTCGTTGGTTTCATTTTTCAGGCATCAGACCAGAACTCAATGTTGCAGATGAGCAAGTTTTAAGGAATTTGGCAAACTGCAACTTAGAAAAATATTCAGAGCTTATCAAGCCTTAAGTTCTTGTAGAGCTTGGATTCAGTCCTCGTGAGGTGAGGATTAAGAACCCCATTCCTCTTTCTGCTGTCAGTGTTGAGGAGGTGGTAGGTTTGTCTCCCTTTTCCCGCCTTTTGGCCCCTTTTGCTTCTTACTCTTCTCTTCTTTCCTTTCTTTTTGACTTATTCTGTGCTTCCAGGTTCTTCCAAAATGCAGCCTTCCCAAGAAGCGCTCGAGGCCAAGGTCGCTTTGCTAAAGAGGAGCAAGAGTGGGCCAAGCGTAAGGTTGAGGTCGACTCTGGTAGCAATATCCTTCCTCTAGCTAAGGTGTCAAAGCTGGGTGTGCCTTTCGTTTCTCCTACCTTTACTCAAGTGGCGCTTATTCCACCACCAAGCATTTCACAACTTTCAGAGGTTTTTTCTCCAAAGACTCTCACCTACTTATGGGGAGATTTTTGAGCGTGGTCTGACCTCCCCCAGCCAAAATCAAGAGGGCTTTAGAGACGGTGACTCGAGTTTTGCCTAGCTCTTCTTCCTCTGGGTTGCCTGAGAAGCCTCCATTACCATCTCGGACTAGCCCCAAGGCTGAGAAAGGGAAGTATACCATAGAGGAAGGAAATGTTGGCTCTTTTCTGGACGACGCCGAGCTCGCTGCTGGTGCTCTTGATTCCATCATTCCCCTTTCTGACATTCAAAGGGATGCTGCCATGTCACTTGAGAACTCCATCAATGCAGCTTTGTATGGAGCTACTACTATAAGACCTCATTTCTTTCATTCCTTAACTTTATTCTTGGTGATCGTTCTATGCTGACTTTCAATCCCGGTTACCTATGCTCCTAGTTGGCCATCTGTGCGAAGGGATTGTTAAGTCGAATCCGAGATTTGGATAGCTTTGCCAAGGCCTCAAAGGCATTCAAACTCAAATGTACCGAGCTGGTCTTCGCCAATTATGACCTCCAAACCCAAATCCAAGACTTACAAGCATAAGTGAAAAAGCAAGCTTCGACCATCAGGAGCTTAGAAGTGAACGAAGAGAGGATCTAGGAAGAGCTTAAACTTAAGATAGATGTCTAGGCCAAAGCTAGCCAAGAAATATTCGAGGCCTTAAGCTCTTACAGGAACATGAAAAAAGAGTACGATGTCCTGGCTAAGGTGAGCAATACTCTCCAAAATGAGCTTGAGGCGCAGAAGGCTGTGGTGAAGGAAAAAGATGCCCTTGTTGTCAAACTGATGGATGACGTTACAACCAAGTGGGCCACCGGATGACTTGTCTTCCAAGAGCGAGCTGAAGAGGTGTACCCTAACCTGAGCTTTGATTTTGAGATTCCTCCTCAACACGAGGAGGAGGAGGAGGAGGAGGCCAATATAGGGGACGCGGATGTGGTCCCTAAGCTTCCCTCTGGTGGTGCT